CTGCTCTGGCACCTTGCCTTCTTTCCATGCTGCATTGATCATATCCTTCAGGGTGCCAATTGAATCGTCATCAAGGTTACGAAGGGCCTTGTTTGATATACCGTCCGGGCTAGAGGCCGACCTGCCGCTGAGATCATGCAAGGCTCTTCTGATCTCCTCGATGTTAAAGTCGCCCTCAAGACCTGGATTAGGCCTGCCCTGGTACTGTCTACTTGGTGGTGCCAATCTTTTGATTGGGAGGTACTTATGCACGAGCCGCTGCACAACTTGCTGTTCTGTAGTGCGTCCTATCTCTTTATGCGAAATTCGAGTGATAACATGCTTTTGATTTCTTTTGGTGTTTTCGTTGAGGATATGCCTTAACATATTCCATGTCTTGCTATAGAGTGCTCGCTTTTTGCTAACGTAGCGTCGCTGTGCCCAGCGTGCGCGCGCGTCATCGCTACATTGGAGTATATTGGGCCCTTTATGATGCGCTAGCAGCCGTTTTGCTAGCTCCACTTATACCGAATTCGGAGTTACGTGACGTCAATGAATGACGAAATATATGACTGGTGCAAACATGCATGATAATCCTGACACGCGTGTAATGTATGAACATGAGAGCATACGACACTCATAGCGTGCTCGCTGCCATTTGGCTAGCTCTACATATACTAAATTTGATATCACGTGACGTGAATAGATGACAAAGGTAAACGACAGATTCAAACACGATAATCGTGACACGGAAGTCATGTAAGGCATCATTTACCTCCACCTCGTAACATTGTGCGGATATTAAAGTGACATATCAACATTTTTTATTCGTGCTTCGCATATCATCGATTCCTACTGTACGTGGGATCTGCAATTTTTGTTTAACCTTTCTATCTCGTGTTTGGCCGTGCTCCAACTTTACCATCTTTCCCACAGCCGTCGACTCAACGACCGAATGCATCCGCGATGCTTTCACCAGAGCTCTAAAAGCTCGAGACGTTGCCCGTCAGCGTCTTTTAGCATCGCAGATCAGCAGCGGCAGCGTTACAACTCCCATTATCGCCAAGTTTCCTTTACTCCGGCTACTTTTGTGCTATTGTGGACTCCGACTAGGCGCGTTGGACTTTCTGAAAACTGCTTTACCACTACTCGGGACCCCACCGCGTATTGCGCCAAGTGATAGATGTGACCTACGAGAAAGCCCCACTCGAGTCTTCCTCCTTTCCCCCTTCACTGTCTACAGACATTCTTCATGCATCTCGCTTTAAGCTTTACCACTCGGCAACATCATAGAAAGTACCGAGATGGTGCTTCAGCACCCGGGGGTTATGTTATGAGACAATGTCCCACAAAAGCGCTTAGATAGGCGAAGAGAAAGACAACTTAATTTTGGTGTAGAGCATCAACTCTTCTTCTCCATCTAGGCTTGCGCGTTGGCGCTGTGTAAATATATCTTCAATCACCTAGTTTTGCATGTGCCTTCCCGTAACAATATTGAAAAGTCAATGGCAAGGATATTCTACAGAAACTGTGGTTGTACTTGTCATCAATACGATGTAGGAAGCAACGAAGGAAGCAAGGTGGTGCCAGTGGGAGATTTTTTCTGTGCGTTGTTGAACAATGAAAAATTCGAAGAGTGCGCGTTAACTAAAAGCCGAATTCTCCTGTCTCTCATTCCCCCTTAGCAGCCAATGGCATACACATTGAGCACTATCTGACAAGGAAGGGATTCAACGTCATACTCTTTGGGCATAACCTCCTTGGTTCTAGAAAGGTCTAGCGAGCGTTGGGCCGCAGTGCCATGAATACAGTGAACTAGTATATACCGTGAACTCGAGGTGGTTAAAGGTGGGAAGTAGACACACTTTCTTGCGCACACTTTCTTGCGCAATCCGCAAGAAAGTGTGCGTGCGCCACCTCTTGTTTAGTTTTTGAAATGACCGCTTGATGGCGGTGCTTCTACAAGCGGAATATATGATGAAAAGATGCGACATGGTGCTACTTGGAGTGTTGACTAGATTAGCGAACGGACACACAGACAGATGCATGGATGGACGCAGGGACGGACGCAGGGACGGATGCATGGACGAACGCAGGGATCGACGCACGGATGGACGAGCGGACGCACGAAAAGACGCACGTACGAATGGGCGGACGGACACATGGACGGTCACACAGATGGACGCATGGACGTACGAAAGCAAGAACAAATGGTTCTTGGAGTGTTGACTAGATGGACGAACGAACACGCAGCCTGATAGATGCATGGAAGGACGCATTGATGGCTGCACAGACGGATGGACGCATAGACGGACGCAAGGGCGGATGCATGGATGAACGCAGGGATAGACGCCTAGATGAACGTGAGGACGCACGAACATATGCACGCATGGACGGTCGGATGGACGCACGGACGGTCACACAGACGGACGCATGGACGGACGGAAGCAAGAACGAATGGACGGACAGATGCTTCGCCCCACTCTCCATCATTCACCCCGTGGATATGCTGTTATTTTCTTTCTACCGTTTTCATATATATAGATACGTATACATATACGGTGCAGGTATCGACGCCAACGCTGGCGAGAAAATTCAGCCGAGAGTGCCATATAGTTGATATAGCAATAATATGTTTGCAAAAGTGAAATGCACTCAGCTCAGCACTGTGTTACGTTAAACTGAAACGCGCTCGCATTGGCAAAATTTCATAGTTTGTTTAACTCACGTTCATTCAACTAACGTTCCTTGAAGGAGTATTTTACTGTATTTAGGATTAATATAATCTCATGGTTATGTCCCTTTCTTGTGCAGCATCGGTCAAGAAACATCATTCCTGGCGTCCGCCTTAACAACCTGCTGGTCGCATTGTGCATGCTAGCAGTATTTGGCTATAATCTGCTCACCCACCCGAGACACGACCACGTAAAAGTCAACCGGACTATCATACGAGTTATAGCGAAACATGAACCCAAGACTACGGTTCCTTTGAGTTATGCACCTTTTCAACGGCCCTTTCTGAGGTGTGTATTTTTCTAACCCTCCTGTACAATATGAGACACGCTGCAAGTCCGCATGATATGACATATGTGCATACCATGCCTTGACGTATTACATTAACGTCTAGAAACGTTCAAATATTGTCACCTGCTTGCTAGTCAAGAAAACGCAGTATGAAATACACTGAAACTATCTGCCCCTAATGATCAAATATTTTTGACCGCGCCATGTTGCTGGAACGAGCGTGTGCTGGCGAAGGCAAATTTCATTGCCGAAGCATTGGATTCATAGTCCTGCATCACTGCAGGTCTTAATATTTCCCGAAAAGCCTGTCCTGTACGATACAAACTTGATTTTCCTATTTGAATGCCGACGCTGCTTAGGCCCTGCCTTTTGTTGTGGTCACGGTATACAGCCCTTGCCATTTTCGAGACATACGCGAGACACACGCACAAGGAGTGGTTTCACAATACACTTCAACGTAACCATAGGCTAATTATAAGGTAAGAAACCGCTGTCCCGGCAAAAATAACTTATCGAGAAGAGTCTTGATCAGTTTATCTCTTGAAAAATGGGCCTAGATGTTCAGGCTTCTCAAGGAAACCAGTAAAACAAAGGCGCACGTCGAAAAATATCTGTCCAAACTAATTACCGGAGGAAAGATACCATTTTAATATGGGTCAGATTTTGGGTTCTTTGATTCGCTTTTACGGCACATCCTCCACTTCACCAGTCTTCTAAGTCCTTCTTAATTTGTCTGACACGGTTGGTAGGTGAAATAATTTTGCACTTCTATGTACACTTTATGCCACTCAATTCACTTTATATGAGGTAACGCTCGGTAACGTACTATTACATACCTATACCATATCCAGCGCATCGCTCGCTGCTCATGATTACTTCGTGTAAATGCGTGGATTTTCTTCGTGCCCGCCAAGTATACTGTCTGTTTTCATTCTATCATGTAAGCCCTAAGTATATTGCTACGTAGCTATCGCATGAAAGGTGAACCATTCTGTGGACAGAAGGCGACGAAGAGGACTGCTTTGCTCACTCTGTGTGCTGCGCTCCAATTTTATCGGTGTAAATACACTGGCAAATAGTCACGTCCTGTCTCATTTTACGTAACATATTTGTGGTGGAGGTGCTAGTCCTTCCCTCTACGAAGCTCCGCAACGGCCGCATCATCACGGGTCCTACCATGTCACAGGTTCAAGGTACATCGTCTTCACCACCCGCCTCTTCTGTGACTCCTACCTATGTTGTCTACCTCCTTCTCGTGATCCAGGCGTATTTTCTGGACAGGATGGCCTTGACCTGTACAAGTGGCTCAACGTGTATGCACGGATCAGCGCCAGCTTTAGGTGGGACCCGACACTCATGCTTGTCAACGTGCTTTTTTACCTTGATTGGCCCTCCACGGGTGTGGTTCGAGACGCACGAAGCCGACATTACCAGCTGGGACACTTTCAAGGAGAAGATCCGTGACGTTTTCGGGAACACCACTGCGCGACAAGTAACTGCGGGAAATCAGTTGGCTACTCGGGCACAGACGTCTACCGAATCCTACGTCGCGTATATTCACGACGTCATCGCCCTTTGTCTCCAGGTCTACGAACACATTTCCGAGCCTGAGAAGGTATCGAATGTGCTTAAAGGACATCGCCGACGATGCCTTCAACCTACTTGTATACACTAACGTCACCACCATCGATGAAATCATCCAAGAGTGCATGCGGTTTGAACACGCCAAGAGCCACCGTATCCCGCAGAGATTCACACGACTGTCCAACACGGCCGCCACTTCATCGTGTGAAGCCGCTCGCCAACCACCCACCTATGACCACGTTACCCGAATCGTTCGTCGGGAGTTTGAAGCTGCCTGTCCAGCTCCCATTCAACAGCCTGTTTTTACAACCCAAGCCACTGACCCATCACAGCCATCGGTAGCCTTAATTCAAGCTGTGGTAAGGCAGGAATTTGCTAATCTCGTTCTTCCGTCAGCGTGTCCCGTGACTCACCCTGAAGTACGCCCATACCCTTCAGGTAACGCTTGCCGATCTCCTCCATCATTGCCCTTCCGAAACCCTACGCAATCGCGAACGCCTGACGACAAGCCTATCTGCTTTCCTGTCATCAACCTGGACATATTTCTCGTTATTGCCATCGCCGCTGGTCCAACCCACCACGTCAGAGCTACCCTACTTATATGCGCTCTACTACTTCTGGACGTCCAGCCGCTTTACCGTCCAACTTTTACTCGCCGCATGAGAGTAATAAAACGCGACTTTACAGATGTAACATATTGAATGTTTTCATTGGTAAAGGAGGGTTTTGCAATGTATGTTTTGGTGTATAGGTAGCTGTATAGCACCGTTCAATGTGGATGTACCCTAGTTGACGCTTGGTACGTCTTCATCCTGAAGACTAACATGCATGATCAATTTATTAAAAAAAGCATTTTGTTATCTGTAGATGGTAACGGCCAAAGCATAATCGGAAAAGCAGGCTAGCAAACGCAGTGAAACTAGCTTTCTTGCTTCACAAACACACGCGTTCCTTATGCATGCTTCACAATTCAACGTCCAAAATTGCAGTAATAATTCGCGATACAAGCGCGCATTGCCAGCGGGCGTCAGAATATCGGATTTTATCGAATCAGCTTCGTCGCTTAAAGGTGGTCACCCACTTCAAAAGGCGCACATGCTACTGCGCCTATCCCCTTGGGGCCACGTGGGGGGTGCATAACAAGTATCAAAAAGCTTCATGCACTAAGTGTTTGAAGTATGCGCTAAGAACAGGACATCGCTATCACGTTCAACTCTTATAGGCGAAGCGTGAACGTCCCCCCCCCCTTTTCTTTTTGTCTAGTATGGCCACTCTAGGCATGGATGCGCCCAGACATACAGCCAACGTCACATCTGTATTTATATGTTCATCAGTATGCCTTACGTAATATTGTTACGTGAATCATCAGTAGGCTACACAACGTGTTTTCAATCGTGGTTGCAGCGCTGACCTGTTCAGCTCAGAGCCCGAGCAGACTAAGTAAGATCTTCCTTCTCTTCATCCGGCGCACACGCACATAGTTCAAAGCACTGGCAATATGTATGTAGCAATACGATATCGCGTTCACTGTGAGCAGGAAACATACCAAACGCAGCGGGCGTTTCTTTCTCAGCGTTGCAGCTGGGGATTATTACGCCAATATTATGTTTCATCATGATGGAAACACTCCTAAGGTGTCATTCTAAACGACGTTTTCTTTTAGATACGAAGCAGCTCTTTGACAAGCCTTTGTAACGCTGTCCCTCCGCACTGGGGTGGAGCCAAGTAGGTCACGCCTTCCCTCGCCGTGCGCACGTGTGACTTCACTCTCTCCCTTGCCTATCTCCACTCACCACGTGTCGTCTCTCTCGCTTCAGCATCTCCACCACTCTTGACGCTCGAGCCCACTCCTCACGCCGGCATCATCATCTCACCCGGGCCACCTCCTGCCGGCAAGAAGAAGCCGCGGGTAGGCGCGCTTGCGTGCCGTCGCCTAGCCTGGCCGTGGTCCCGCGGCGCCGGCAATGTGGACAGCGCGCCGCCCCTTGCCGCGCGATCACGCCGACGGGCGGGACGCCGCCGGGGCAGGCTTTCCGCTAGTACGCGCGTACCTTTCCCGGCCGTCACCGGCGTTGCGGGTTAGCGAAACCAATCATGGTCGCGAATGGTGATGTCGCGCCTGGAACACCGTCAAGCCAGGGTAGCCGAACGCAAGCGCCGGCACTGGCAGACCAACGACACCGACGAGGTGCGGGTCAAGAACGCCGATCGCGTTCGAAAATAGAGATGGCGCGAGGGTAACACCGACGAGACGCGAGCCGAGGAAGCGAAGCGCAAGCGCCTTCAACGCGCCCCTCATCCCGTGTCTTTGCGTTTGAAACAAACGTTTACTCCAGTAAATGTTACATCGGGTTTCGCTTCAAACCGTTATTTCAGCAACCGCACCGACGCCAGTTTCAACCGGGTCAACGCCGTTCGCACCACTGCTGCTTTTCCCCGCAGGGGCGCCTGCTTAAGTAGGCGTTTGGTGGGTAGCGACACCACAGACCCGAGCTAACGGGGGAGTTTCTACTCCCTCCCACGCCTAGCCATGCGTGGCTTTGCCGTGTTCGGAGAAAAGGGGACCCTGGGGGTTGAGCCGACGCTGGGTAATTGGACCTTTAAGGCCCCCCGACAGAGGCAACACACCCCTTTGGCCCCGACTTCACGTAGACGGCACCCCTGGGCTGACCCACCAGGGGAAATCGGCAGTCGCCTTTTCCTATCCCTCTCTCCCTGCATCTTCGTCTTTATCTCTTACTATTTATCTGTCCTGTCTTCTACTCTCTCCGTTTACTTCCAAACTTCCTGGCGGTTAGGGTTACCCTGTGCAAATAGCCTACCTTGGTCTAGGCGCATTGTGTTATAGTGGCGTTGTATGGCTGGCACCTGCAGTTTTAAGCATCTGTAAACTTGTAGCGTCCCCTCGTTGGGCTCCGTGGTGGGTGGCCGCCAACGCTGCTGAACAAAAATAAGAAAGGCATGCATGGAGCATTCCTCTTACTGTCTGATCGTACCGGCTTAAAGCGGGTACGCACCGATGATATAAACTTTTTAACCAGCCAAAGAAACATATCCTCACTATCATGTTATCCACTGTGAAAAAACTGAAAAGCAAGCCAGAACCCTTCTCCTTTTCCTGGTTTCTAGATTGTCTACCCGAAACTCTTGGCACAGGAGGTAACCAAAATGGCTAGTGGAGACCTTCTCCTCGAAATCCGTGACAGAGAACAATTTGTAAAGCTAGACCGTCTTTCAGATTTCGGTGGCATACCAATAACCATAACACCACATAGATTAATGAACACAACTCGCGGAGTGGTATCTGACATGGACTTACTTGACTTGACTGAGACTGAACTTTTGGGGGAGTGGAAGAGCCAAAATGTCACTAATGTACAGAGAATCATCATTAGAAGAGATAATAAGGAAACGACGACGACGAACACTTCATACTCACATTTGCATCCAGTTAACTACCGGAATCTATTCAAACAGGTACACAAAGACATCTATCAGGCCGTACATACCAAAAACCCTCGTCGTTGCTTCCAATGCCAGAGTATGGCCATGGCTGTAAACCGTCGTGGTCGCCCAGACTTGTGCACAATGTGGAGTTCTAGGCCACGTGTCTGAGAACTGCAAACAACGCCACACTGTGTAAACTGCGAAGGAAACCATGCCGCATATTCACGCTCCGGCACATATGGAAAAAAGAAAAAGAATAATTACGTTGAAGGGGAAAGAGAACATTGAAATTAAGGAAGCACGGGCGAATAGTCGCTCCATTCTATGGACCTACATACGCTGATGCGTCGGCGTCAGGGGGCACCCGCCCGCACCAGCCCTCGCCACTCCTTCAGCCCGCGCATACCGAGTCGGTGTTGTGGCACCTGCCCCGAACGTGGCTGTAGCCAAGCTACACCGCCTACTCCCAACAGAGACCGGAGGTCTCTGGAGTCTCCGGCTCCTCAACAGGCAAGGCCCCGAAATTCGAATTAACCGCCCGCACGTGCGGGCATCCATGCCGTCCGAGGAGGCAATGGATCTCGGCAGCCCTGGGTTCAGAAAGAGTGGCGTGGCTTCCTGGAGCGTGTCAAGAAACAACAAAGCAGATAACAGGGCCTGGTGATGCCCCTGTTAAGTGAACTCAAACTCCCTGTCTAAACAGCCACTCGCTTTTCGGTACGCACAGCACTATTTCACATTCACCATGAACACTGAAATTATACAATGGGAACGTCAGGGGCCTTCTCAGAAATTTTGACGACATCCCAGAACTCTTACATGAACACTCGCCAAAAGTGCTGTGTGTACAAGAAACACACCTTAATTTAAAACACACAAATTTCTTGTAAATACTTATTTTCCGAAAAGACCGTGTTGATGCTATGACATCATCCGGAGGTGTTGCCATCATAGTGAATCAAGGAATAGCATGCACGCACTTACAACTCCAAACATCCCTTGAGGGCAGTGGCTGTTCGAGCGGTTCTTTTTGATAAACTGATCACAGTCTGCACTATTACATTCCTCCTAGCTATCACTGCAAAAACCGTGATTTACACTCTATAATTGATGAACTTCCGGAGCCTTATGTTCTCCTTGGAGACTTAATGCGCATAGCAGGCTATGGGGTGGAATCTCGTATGACGCGCGAGGTCGACTGATCGAACAGTTCCTTATCTCGTCGAGCGCGTGTCCTCCTAAATCGAAAAGAACCAGCCTATTATAACCTCGCTAATACACCTACTCCTCCATAGACCTGAGCATAGTATCTCCATCTCTTGCGCCTCTACTCCAGGTGGAAAGTCGTCAGTATCTGTACGGAAGTGACCACTTCCCCGTAGTTTTGAGCACAACGACAGTAACTGAGTGTCCACCACGTGTTCCCAAGTGGCTATAAACAGAGCGACTGGGAACAGTTTTATACTATCGCTTGTCTAGGTTGGAATGACATCTGTACTTTGAACATTGATGTTGCTGTGAACTACTTCACAATCGTTTTGATTGATGCGGCAACAAAGTGCATCCCACAAAAAAAAAATGAACACCCTGGAAAAACGATGTGTGCCATGGTGGAACTCTGAACCCCGAAACGCGCGCAAACAGCAAAACAGAGCTTGGAGGCTGCTTCGGAACTCACCGAAAGCCGAAAAATCTTGGACCTTCAAGAAAATAAAGTCTCAAGCAGGAGAAACGCGTCGGCCATGCCAGAAGAGAAAGCTGGCGGAAGTTTTTATCATGGGTTCATTCATACACACAGGAGGCTAAAGTCCGGGAACATGGTCGGTAGGATGCAGGAAAACAAGTACAACACACTTCCCATCGTAAACACTCAGGGTGATACCTTGGAAGATCAGGCAAACTTCCTCGGTGCAACACTTCGAACAGGTATCCAGCTCGTCCCACTATACTGACACTTTCCAAAAATACAGAACAAGAATCGAAAAGCAGAAACTCGAACACCACATCCACTAGAT